GCATTGATATTTAATCAACAATGTGGCTTACTGCTTCACCAAAATTCTATGCTCGACATCTCAAACTTAATGAAGTCGAGTCTGATGCTGTTCTTGTTGAATACATTCTACAATGTTTTGTTGTCGCCGGTTTACTTAGAGTTGTTATAGCCTGATGTCATCTCGGCGATGTAACTCTGATCAGTTTACCACCAATGTATTTTATCATTTTTCTTAGTTTGTGCAAAGTTTTATACAAAGAAACTCTTCACTGTTAACAACATATTGTTGATATGACTCAACAAAGGGTCATATTATTATATTAGAAATTTTTCATATTCATACAGGTAATTCTCACCTCGATTTTCTATAAAGTCTGTTGATGTTGGTAGCTTATTGTTAATTGACCATCTCTTTACTCGGAGTTCCCAGTATTGTTGACTGTCTTTTTAAAGTTTTCCAGTGACTTGCTGTTTCTACACTGGAACTTTCCAATGCTACAACTACTTAGTTTGTAAAGTGTAACTCTGAAAATTCTACACTTAATAACTCATTGAAGTCATTGTATATTTCAATTGCGGTCTTTTTAAGGATTTGGTCATTATAAACAAATAAAATATATTAAAAATGTTGTTTTCCATGTCTTTGAAAACGCGTCTTTGGTAGTGCAATTTTTTAATCCATCGGGGTATCTCAATAGTAACAGAGTTTTCAACGTTAACATCGCACATGTGGAACGAAATTAAGGCCTGGCAATTCAAATTGATTGTTTAATATTTTTTTGTTTTTCCACTTTTAATAAAATAAGTTTTTAATTTGTGTTATTAGTGGCTGTCTCTGGTTTAATTGAAAATTTGGTTGGTCAAAAATAGGCAACACAACTTCTCGAATATAAGATCAATTTTGTGAAAGGATCTTGGTAATTGGTTGCAGAAATCAAGCTTCATTATTATTTAAGTAAATTTACAAACCCAACTTGAAAAAAAACAGAACTAAAAAGTACAAGACATTACCCAAATTTTTTCACAAAATTTTAATTTAATCAAAAACATAAGAACCCGAACAATTTTTATTTATAAAATAACAAATTGTATTTATTTAAATAAAACTTAGTTAAATATCAAAATTTTTAATTATTACATTTTTATTTACATTTTACTCATTTTTTATAAAAACCTTTTTATACATGGCGTATTGAATTGTAATTAACCATTATACAATAAACATGGTTTAAACAATAATAAACAATTGTATACAATAAGTTACAACCATTTGTAATCAAATAATTGCATGTAAAATATTGTATTTATTCAAATCATTAATGTTTGAAAAATCCATTTCTAATGTTATTAATTTGTTTTTGTTTGTATTTTTAACTATTTGGTATTATTCATTATTTTAAATTGTTTATTTTAATTATCATATAATTGTTATAATTGTTCTTTGATATCAATGTTTGCGAATGAATATAGTGCCGATCGATATCACATTAACAATTCTTTTTTTTTTCAATGTTTTTAAATTTGTTTAATAAATAATTGATGTGTTAATTGGCAAAATTCCCCATTTTTGCAATATTTTAAACTGTTTAATATTTTATAACTTATTTTTTATTGTTCATTCTATTATTTAACTAACGATATGATTTTGCATTAATATTTTAAAATATTTCTGTTTTTTTTATCATGTTTATTTAGTTTTTTTAATGCACAATTTGGGATAAATGTATTTTAATCATGAACAATCATTGTAAAAAAGTTGCAAATTCTGGACCCGAACAAGTTTTTTGGTACAGATGGCGGAATTAACAGGGACCACCGGAAAAACCAGGGACCAGACTAATTTTAGCTATTGAATATTAAGCGGATTTTATACAATAAAACGGGCAAATATATAAATAAATGTGTAATTTTCTTATTATTTGGTCTTAAAAACGGTTATTTTTCGGGATGAAAACAAATGAATATGTTGTATAAAGTATGAATAAACAATAGCTTAATGTGAGTTATAATAGTAAGTTTATTATTATTTATTATTATTTAATCATAAAATATTGATCTTTTGTTCAACCTTGTTTAACTTCAACACAACCATTCAATTAAATCGTTCATTCATTATTTCAAAGAAGATGTCGTAGCCTTCTCTACTCACTAGGTTGATTTGATGAGTCGCTTTTCGTTAAGCATTAAAAGTGACTCACATAATAAATGAAAATAAAGTAAATAATAAATAAATTGTTGGAACATTAGACATTCAGTAAATGATTGATGATTATTAAATGTATTAAACAACGGAAGATAAATCAATATAAAGAACAAACTTTTCTTTGGCTCGGCTGGGCATTAACAATAGAGACAACTCTGAATGATTATTTAAGAGTTTCATATTTTATAGTTTTTTGTATTTTATTTAAAAAAACAGTGTGTCTATTAATACTTGGTCCCTGGTTTTTGAAAATAAACCAACATATCCTACAAAACCCCGATTATTTGGGGATTTTTCTTTAACAAGAAAACTTTGTACCAAAAATAAAACAACTTAATTTAGTCTGGTCCCTGGTTTATGATTTGGTCCCTGGTTTTTCCTCTATCTGTACATTTATTTAAATGCCATATGTTTGCTTGAATTTCCCGTTTATTAACGTTGTTTTTATACAACATATTAGAAATAAAAAATGAAAAATAATAATAAATGTTAAAACTCATTCAATGTGCATTAAATTCTTTTTTTACCAATATATTTGGCAAAAATGTATTTATTGTGATTATAAGTAAAAACAAATAATGTTAAAATATATCGGAACAGTAATAAACTAAATTTTAAAATTTGCTCAAAAAATACGTTGTTTTAAAAATAGAATTCATCTAAAAACGCATTTTTAAAATGATTTTTGTTGTAAAAACAATTAAAAACAAACTTTTAATTGTTTTACCAAAAATATTGAGCACAATCTATTTATTTGTAATGTTTTACAAAACTGTACTATATTTTTAAAAATGTATTAATTAAAACTATATTCTTCTTATTACAAATTATATTAAAAATAATAACTTATTTTTTTAAATTATATGGTATAAAAATTGAATTGAATAAACATGTTTTGAAAATGATATATAATCAATTAGATACGGTTTATACGACATAAAAACGTTTTGTATTGGTCTTTTAACATAAGTTCTGCTTTGAGAGCCGTCTTAAAACTCTTTTGATGCTTTGATTCTTTAGTTGATTATTGATAAAAATATAAGTAAAAAATTAATAAAATTATGATGTTTTTACCCGAATATTTGAATTAAATAATCGCATTTATTAACAAAAAGATATACAATATATCAACCATTATTGTATAGTTTTGTTTTAAACTATAAATCCCGTTTATTGAGGTAATATAACTGTAAATATTTTGTCAATTGTAATATGATTTTTTTGGACAACAAATCAAATTAATTTTTTGAAAACTTTTTTTGAGTGAAAAAAAGCCATTATTAGAGTAAAAACAAAGAAAAAACCTATAAACAATATTTTTTGGTTAAAAATGAACTTTTTTGCCGACAGCCACAAAATTTACTATATAACTGTCTAACCCTGAAGTAAAGTAAATAAAAAATTCTTTATACTTTTCTCGATTTAAGAAACAATTCGAAGCTGTTTTTAAATTAAAAACATTGAACTTTTATTAAAATGTATAAAAAGATTCAAACTGTTTAGAGAATAAATTATTTAATAAACCATTTATAAACCATCAATAAACTATCAAATTATAAATCAATTATTTATTCCAAATATAGGTGGTTTAATCAACGAAAAAACGATAAATGTACTATATTAAATAATTAAATTTTAATACATTATATAAAACAATTTGAAATAATAATCTTAATTAAAAAATGTCGTATTAAATTTAATAGTATATAAAATTACTTTATAATATATTAGAACTAGACTAGTATATTTATATTATGAATTAACATGTAGATAAATGATTTTAGTATGTTATTATTTACACTGTTTTTCACATGGAATTAAAATAACCACAATTTATTATAATTTTTTTAATAATTATTTTTAATAACCACAATTTTTAATAATTTTATTAATTTACAAATTATTAATTATAATAATTACATTTTGAAAACAATCCAAGTAAAACAAAATTCACCTTACGAACATTTCAATTACGTTTTATGTATTCCATTATTTTTTGAATTAAATGTACATTTCAATTTATAATTATGGGGTTATATTGTATGTAAATAATAAATAATTTTGATAAATAACAATTAAACTATTCTTTTGAATGATTAATTTAACAAAAAAAGACACTAATTATATACTAAACTTGGGCCATAAAGTCCGACACTTTATAACAGTATTTTTTTTCTTTTGTTTTTTGGGATATTAATATATTATGTCGATATTTACATCTGTTTTACTTATCATTATTTTCCCTTATTTCGATTTTTTGCGTCTTATTTTTTGATTTTTCAATTTTCTACTTACACTACAATTTCCTTATTTCAAAATCATGGAATATTTTGATTTTTTTAAGAAAAATAATTTCTATTTTAAAAAGTGTACGAGTATTTTCTAATCGATTTATATATATTTAAACTTTGGTAAATTTGTAAAAGAAAGATTTTTTAATTTAAAATTTTTATATTTTTGTAAAATATGTACTATTTTTTGATTTTTGCCATTTTTTTAGTTTTTGTGTGTTTTTTAAAAAACAAAGAAATTGAAGTATGACCAAAAATAATTTGGATTTGTGCTATTTATTGAAATCACTATGAAATCGAGTTCTTGAATCTTGCCACGTGGGCATTTTTTAATTCACTGTGGTGACTTTTCGAATAGTAAAGAATATTCAATACGAAAATTTGCAAAATGGTTGCATACTCAACACTTTTTACATAAAATCATTGTGTTGGGTAATAACGAGCTTAAAATCACAAAAAGCACAGAACAAATATCAAAGTGGGTATCTGAAAAATGTCCAGAAGCTATTTTATTAACCAATAAAAGTGTGACAATTAAAAAATTTGTAATTTATGGAGCAAAATGGAACTTTGCTGGCGACGATTCTTTTCAACTCGATTCAACAAAAACGTTTGTATTTTTATCACATCAACCACCTTATAATATAATGGATATGATGTCAGTTGCGCCATTCTCACCACCAACATATCATGGTGGATCACACCAAATATTGTTATTTATCACTAAATATAAACCAAAGTTGGTCTGTTTCGGACATACACATAACTGTTTTGGTGTTGTTAAGGACGAAACCACCACTTACGTAAATGCAACATTCGTAAACGAATTAAGTATTCCAATTAAAGGTCCTGTGTTACTTCAATACATAAATGGCGAATTTACAAAAAAAGAGTACAATGTGTTTAAAACAATTTGATATATTTTATTTATTTTTTTATTACAGTCAAATTTCGACATTTTTCCAAATTAAACATTTTGAGTTTCGTCATAATTTGTATTATTGAGTTAAAAATTGTGATTTCATTTTTGTTGATAATCATAAGTAATTATTTATGTGTTTTTTATTTTGTTTGTGTGTTATTAAAACGTAAAAGCCAAACATACAATATTTTATTTATTTTAACTTTATTGTAAATAAAACCAACTTTTGGTTACTTTGCATTTTCCAAAAAAAACTTCTAACAACCAAACAGATCTTTGAAACTGTTGAAGTTTGCAAAATGTCAAGGTTGGACAGTAGAGTCAGTCTGTTAACGTTGTTCACTCCCCAAACGTTGTTTTTTCTTTGTACTATTTTTAGAAATAACTAGTTTTTTGAATCAAGTCATAAATAATTTTTGTTTACCACAAAGAAATTTTTACCAATAATTTTTCATTAATTCTATTAATTAAATTTACAAAAAATGATTATTACTTTAGTTAGCACAAATTAAATTGAAGATAAAATGTCAATTTCCAAGTTTCCAGCACTGTTTTTTTCATAAAAAATAATTGTTTATTAAAAAAATCTAAAAAATTAACATGAATTCTTTTACTCAAACTCCACATGTCTTTTCTCGAAATTACGAGATCAATTACGAGGGAATAAATTTTCAACAAATTTTGATACCAATTCCCAACACCGATCCAAAAATTACTATTATGTCTGAGTTATTTGGTGTTGTTGATTCTCTTACTGATAAAATTTTATCACGATATAATGCTGCAATATATGATTATACAAATATTAGAAACTATGCGACAACTAAAATAGTCGTAGCAATTAACACATTTCAAAAAGACATTGAATGGTTTCTCAAAATCAAAGAAAAGGTTGAAACAATGTTGTCAACAATAAATAAAACAATAAAAATTGTAGAGTTGATAATGGTATGTCTATTTTACATTAAACAATTTGAGACTGCAAGAAATGGGTTTGAACAGCTAAAAAGATGCTTGGAACATGATGGTGTTCCACTTCCAAATGATGGTAGAATACACTTTGATGAGACTCCTTTGCTCGATAGTGTTCAAAGTGCAACAGAATATAACACAACTCCACAATCGATGTTAGTTAATAATGATGATGTCATTAACGAATTACAAAACAGCGACGAATTAGATGATGATAAAGTTAATTATGGTAATGAAGAAGAGTTTGAAGAATCATCAGAAGAACTTACAGAGATTGACAAGACTAAAAATTGTGATAAAAAAATTATGCCTGTGTTAAACGACGACTCTTTTGATTGTATTGGATTATTTGATTATTTGTTGGAAAGACAAAGAGAAGACGAGTTTGAACAAATAATGGGACATGTATTGAGGTTTTTAAATTTGAAGAGAAACAGAACAGCACCAAATAGACGAGTACAAATGTTTAGGTTCTATGAATATTTAAACGCCAAAGTTAAAAAGACAAATTCGGCATTTTTTTCAAGTCTTACTTCCAGCGTAAACGACTTCGTGTGGAGAAGGCAAATTAAATTATTTAAAAGTCTTCCTGGTTTATCAGGAAAGAAAACAACTTTTGAAGACGACGAAATCAATAAGATAGTCACTTTTATTGAGAAAAGAGAAAGTGATAACAATTCTGTGAGTTACAGTGACTTGATGTGGTTCGTTGTTAACAAGTTGTACAGAGAAGATGTAACAATAAAGACTCTGTATAATTTCACTTCTAATTGTTCAAAAATAACAACAGTAAAGGGGACAAAAATGGAACAAGAAAGAATGGAAGTGACACGGGAATCAATAGACTTGTATTTTAATTATCTGGAAGCTAACGTGACAGGAATTCCCGTTGAATTTATTTGGAACGGTGACGAGACTGGATTCCAGAGATGGGTCGATGCTGCACAAAAGACGTTGATTGTAATTAACAAACCAAGAGAAGGTGACACCCATTATCCTACCGAGAGAGCGGGACAGAGGACAACGATGATGGCAGCTATATGTATGGACGGAACCAGTGAAGTTCCATTTTTCATTGTACCTACAGTCACAGTCGAAAAAGAGTTGTTGGAGTTGGGTATAACAAAAAACAGAGTCTGTCTTAAACATGCCGAAAAGGCATTTATGAATACCACATTGTTCGATCAATGGCTGTCTGAAGTGTTCGTCAAAAGTCTGAATTACAAAAGAAAAATAATGAATTACTATGGGCCAGCAGCATTAATTCTTGACGGTTTTGGTTCTCATTTGACTTGTGACGCTGTTTCCATGTTGACTAAGAACAACGTCAAACTCATTCTCATGCCGAGTCACAGCTCATATTTGTTACAAAGTTTAGACGTATCTATATTTGGTAACCAAAAGCGTATATGTTCTTTTGACAAATGTTTTAACAAAGACAAATACGCGAACCTATCGTACACAACAGTACAAATTCTTTCGATAGTTGATTCCTGGCAGAAAGTAGCCACGACTAAAAATGTAGTGTCCGCTTTTGTGTCATGTGGACTTGTTCCTCGTTTATTAAAAAACATGAATGTAGTGTGTGAAGTAGTTAGGAAATCTTGTACGAAGATTAATTGGTTTTTTACTGAAGAAGAAATTTTTCAATGCCAAAATAGTCTCATGATTGAAGAAAACGAGAATGAAGAATCAATCGACAGAAAAGTCTTTAAACGATTAAGAGATGACGCCAGATCTTCAGAGAACTCTACTTTATACAGTAAACATGGTATTGAGCTTTACAAACCGAAGAGAGTTAGTCTTGAATTGTTTAGAAAAGTTGACAAGAAATAATTAACAAGTTTTTAATCAAAAATGTATTGATAAAATGATATAAAAACATAGAAATAATATATAAATTGTTATAATAAATAGTTTTTACTAAATTAATATGGTTGTTATGTTAATTGTTGAACAAAAGCTATAAAAATTGGTTATTATTATGTTTGTTTTAATAACAAATAAAGGTAATAAAAAATATAATAAAATAACCATATCATATATTATAACGTTCTTAACCCTGATAAAAAGGTCAAACTAAAAATTTTAAGCCACCCACAAAACATAGTCTTTCCATAAGTCTGTTATTTTATCATTTTCAATCTTGTGTTTACAAATAGCCAATTAAATCATTATATTCTGGTGCTCATTGTTGTCTAATGAAGTCTTGTTACTCGAGCCAAAACTGACAAACTGCTATTGTGCTATTCTTCCTTTTCTGTTTTAATAGAATCAAATGTGGTTACTCGCCTTTGGGTTGCTCTCTCTCGAGAGCG